ATTTCAGTAAATAAACACAGCTGGTAGACACTGCAGCAATTACGAATAAGTGATAGCTATGTCGCATACAGTTAAGAGTAAGTTACAACGAAAGGGCCAGAATAAGGATAAACTATGTAGTGGAGACACTATGGGGGAAAACTAAGTATACTCAACCCAAGGTCGTAAGATGTGGCGCCCAAAAAGGTAACTCTTATCTTTCATGTACAATTCAAATGCTGACCAAGTGTACATTATCTTTTCTTGTTTTAATTATTCTAACAACCGGATTGACCCTCGACCGCATTGATTGGTTGACCGTTATGTGATTCGTGTGTATTGATTTGGCTCCTCTCGGCTCCAAACCGCTCCCGCGAACATCCTGGTTCAGCGACGCATTGAAGAAGGAACACACATGGGAATTCTCCTACCGTTCCTGTCCAAATTGAACTTGAACTTGTAAGTTCCCGCGCTCACGTGTTCGCTCTTGCCTAGCTTCATCTGTCCACGTCTTCTTGTAGCCCATCGAATACAGTCCACTGTGTCCAACTCCCATTGCCTTCTGATATCCGCGCTTTATTTGGCGCATCATCTCAGATTGGTATTAACTAGTCCTACAAATTGGTGACCCCGATTTGCAAAGCGCGAATTCAGCTTTATTTTCCTCGTTTGTATTTTTGGTGGGTTCGTTCCTTTTTCTCGATTCTGTACATGTATACACTTGTCTTTTGCGTACTTTTGGTACTCTCCTCGTGTTCTTGTTCTTCCTTTATCTTTTTGACTCGCTTTTCAAGAGTGGGTTCTGAGTCGTTTCGCAGCGTAAACATGCTTACTTTGGCTGTTCCAAATTTCGTGGAACACAGCCTAGAGGTTTGGTTTACGATATTCGAGAGCGAACTCGAATATAAGAGCATTAGGCGGACCGTCAGAGGTAGAATCAGCTCATCCCAGGCATTTCTTCGTCGGTTGTGCCTCTGGTTGAGCATATTCTACTCTGCCCATCGAATGAGGAAAAGTATGAAACCATGAAGCAAGCGCTAATAAAAGAGTTACGGCCCAGCGTACGAGCTAGAGTTAAAAACTCAATGGTCTCAAGCTTGGAGATCGCAAGCTGTCGGCGTTGCTCCGCGAAGTTCAGCGCATCGCTGGTCCCTTATTCATGAGAGAAGCCGGAACAAAACAGTTGCGGTTTGCACGTCTCCCAAAGCCATTGCCGGTAATGCTGTTCAAGTTTGTAGATACACTCCAGAAAGAATTATATATCAGGATAGACGCTGCGTTCGAACGTTTTCCGCATCAGACGATCAGTATCCCCGGTGAGGTGTTCTCACCGGTGAAAACCGAATCGCATATTTACTACCAGTCGGCGGGACGATCTGTCCCTAAAGACTAGGAAAGTGCGCTACTTCGCAATAGCATAGCAGTAATGAAGGCTTCGAAGCAGCGTGTGCCACGGTCAGATACTGACCAAGTTTTAGCTACCCTTCATTGCGGCCCGCCTGTGGCTGCTCTGAATACATCTCGTTCGGCACGAAAGCGCATAATTTTCCCTGCACGTTCTCAGTCAGATAACACCAAACCCGTCGTCGCATTATGTTTGTATCCCCTCCAATACGGTGGAAGAGCTAGACGTTGTTGGGCTCCCTACGTTAGGCACGACCCAGTTGCTTCAGGGGAAGCGAATAGCCCGCGTAGTAGTGCGGCCAACGTATCCGTCAATAACCAAACAAATGGCTAATTTTACGTTAATGATCGACGTTCTTCCAGCACGTTCCTCATCGACACGGGAGCGGAAATCAGCGTTATCCCAGCGACCGCTAACGACAAGCACTCAAAGCCTAGTACAATTTGCGTGCTTCAAACGGTTCTCCGATAGCTTTATTCGGTCAGCGCAGGATGAAACTGGACCACAATCATCGCTAAGCTTTTCAGTCTTTCTTCATGTTTGCGCCTGTTGCTTTCGCAATTATCGGTATCGACTTCATCCGACATTTTGGGTTCCTTGTTGATGCTGGTCGCCGCAGACTTTAGTTGACCATACTAAACTAGTGGTCGAAGGCGTTCTTACGGACGTCCCGATAATCAGTCCCGTCTTTCGAATCGCCAGTGTACTATCAGATTATGCGAACCTACTGGCTGAATGCCCGCTACTGGTACAACCAGCTGCAGAGCTTTCGCCAGTCACGACAGAGGTCATTCATTACAAAGTCACGCGTGGTCAGCCAGTTAGCGCACGGCCATGACGGCTTGCTTCTGATAAACTACGTGTAGCACGAGCTGAATTCGACTGCATGCTTCAGCACGGTATCGTTAGACCGTCCCAAAGCCCATGGGCGTCGCCTGTGTATATGGTCCCGAAGAAGGTCATGGGGTACTGGCGCCCTTGTGGCGACTAGCGAACCATGAGTACGGTTATCAAGCCTGATCGCTACCAGATCCTACACATAGTGGATCTCACCTCCAGTCTGGTGGGTAAAGTTAGCATAAGCAACATCGACTTGGTACGCGCATACAACCAAATTCCAGTAACCGAAGCGGATAACGCTACAACTGTCGTGACTACTCCATTTTGTCTGTTCGACTTCCTTCGCATGCCATTTAAACAATGAACGTTGAACTTATACGGGTTAAGAAGCGTTGCTTTACAAGTCCCGTGGGATAGTTGGTGGGGATTTCAACATAACGATAATGATAATAAGGATAGTAACATAGTTAATACTTTAAATTTGAAAATAAGAACTTTTCGTTTGCTTCGTTGTGGTCCTGCGATCCTCTTAAATTCACAGCACCCACGGTTAACAACAAATTATTCCATGGTAAACTCCAGTAGCAGGATGATGACGTAGTGTTAAGTAACAAAGTGTAAGTGGATGAGTGCATCGTCCAACCGTCTTTTAAACACTGTTAGTGTCGGTGCAGAGACGACCGATGCTGGCAGAGCATTCCACGGGTGACAGACACGAATGGAAAAGAAATTTCTGCGGCACTCCAGACGACTGTATTGTTCTGCTAGTTTTAACGAGTGGCCCCTCAGGTTTGTATTGCTACTGAGTTGCAGTAAAGGGCGTCACACATGATGTGGGTCTCGCAGAAACAAGTATGCCATAATCAGGTAGCCTCGTGGTCTGTGATAGCTTCCACTGTACAATCCCAGTCGTCGCAGCCTCTCCTGGTAGGAAAGATTGTGCATTCCAATTACGTTTTTAGATTCCCGGCGTTGTGGCTGCTCCAGTACATTAAGGTCGTGTTTCAGCCATGGATGCCAGACTTGAATTGCATATCCGACATGGAGGCGAACATACGCACTGAACATTTGTCGAAATATGGAGCTGTTTATTTGTCCAAATGCCCGCCTCAACAGCCCGACATGTTGGTTCCCGGTCTTCGAGGCCTTTTCGGATTGCCTGGAGCAACCCAAGTCATGTTGAACCAGGACACCCAAGTCACGTTCGAGAGTTAATTGTTGCAGTACATCCGTTCCGAGTCGGTATGAGTAGCTGCTCTGATGTCGGATGGAAAGTACTTTGCATTTACTGACGTTGAAATGCAATGAGCTTCAGGTCGACCATTGATGCACTGTATCTAAGTCACGATGAAGCAGATGATGGTCGGCGTTCACCTGGATCCTGCGCCAGAT